CAAACAAAATATCAAGATGACTGTTTGGATTGTGAAAGAAATTGAGACCAGTTCAAATCTGTCCCAAGATTACATCCCCACCCAAAACCTCAAACTAAGAGGGGGCTTTCTCCACATTAAGAACCTTAACCTTCTCATCAACCACATATTCTGACCATCTATGGAGAGAAATTTTTTTTTTGTTTTAGTTAGAATCTCATACTTTGAATGTCTATCTGACAAATAATTTCTATAAAAAATATAAAAGACAGAGGTAAAGTACTTTGGTTTGAGATCTATTCCCAAGTCCAAGCTCTTGTCTAAGCTCCCATCTGTTCCCAAGTCCAAGCTCTTGTGAAAGCTCCCATTAAAGTCACCATAAAATTCAATCTAGAAGATGTCCAGTCTCAATGCATGAAAGGGGATACTCATAAACAATTCCGTTTACTACATTGGTATCTTGCGTTACATTTACTCTTCTACTTTCCCTGACGTACCCATGTCCAACACGGATATGACAAGAGTGAGGATGTGAGATATGCGTTCAACAGTCAAGCCCAATGGATCTTATAATTTTACATGGGTCAGGCTTCTTTTCAGTTCACTTTGTAGATTAGACGATATTGTTAGGCTTTTGGGGCTCACTATAGGTCCTGTTTCGATGATCCGAACCGATCAATATGTAAAACTTGTCGAGTACTTTATCCTTGTAAAAAATAACATTAATCGGATATCGATATCTATTTGATCGAATTAGATTTTTGTCAACAATTTATTTTAAAAATTATATTTACCGTTGATAGAAATCTGATCCAATCAAGCAAGTATTGATATCTGATCAATATGAATTTTTATAGGGATAAAGTACTCAACAAGTTCTACCTATTGAACGGTTCGGATCGTCAAAATATGATCTTTGGTGGGTTTCCATAGGCCCAACAATATGTTCTAGTCCGATTTTGAACTAGAGAGCAATCTGGTCCAATTTATATAATGTTTGAAGAAGATTTGCTAGCAAAATTTTAAATGACAATGGCGGTTACCGTAACGGTAACGTTGACTCGGTTGCGGGGTGTAATGGTCGTAACGTAATGGTGACGGCAACCGAACTTTAAGAAAATATACCGATATGCATGTTGTTATTTCAGAATCACAATTAGTGAGATTCAAAATGATTTTTAGTATTTTTGTTTAGTTCTAAAACATGATTCAATATATATATACTAATTTTTATATTAGTTTTAAGTCAATATGAAATTTTTTCCTATTGTTGTATTTGTTTAATTTTCTTTGATTTACTAATTATACTAATGAATTACTTTAAATTTATTAAGGAAATAAACGAAGTATGTTTAATATTAAAAATAATAGTCTCATAAATATAAGTTCAAAATACAAATGTCAACATAAAACCATCTCTAACGGTTCGTTAATTCTTTCATCAAATTTAAAGTTGATGAAAAAATAACCTTTTTCTTGCTCCAATGGTTTCACTAGATGGATATTAAATCGAGGATATAAAAAATCTTTTACCAAATTGAGGACGCTTGGGAGCTTTCATCAAATCATTGTTCATAGCCATTGGATTTTCACCATCGAATGTCCCCCGAATGGCCACCTATTTGCAAAAATTTGTGAAAAAAATACACTGGCCGGTTGACCGACGGGTCAACCGGTGTTTTGATGAAAGTTCAAAATCCTTCGTTGGAGCAATTGATATCAAAAGGAGTTTTTACTCAAATTTAGTAGAAAAAAAAAATACACCGTTAGAGATGCTCTAATAATATAAAAGTAAAAAATATGAAATCAAAATTTTGTTCAATAAATTTAAAAAGAGAAATAGTTTAAAGTTAATATTTAAATATAATTAAATGAAAAAGTAATGACATCTTGTAAAAATTGAAAATTAGACATTCAAAATATATATAGATAAGATTTTTACTTAAACTCTATGTAACTAGAAAATAAAAAGAGAAAATAGTATTATACAATATATATATATATATATAAATTAAAAAAATAGAAGTGTAACGGTTGTAATGACCATTACGGCCTTTACAAAATGGTGACGTTGTGAATTTTTATCAAACCGCTATAGCGGCCTGCTGTTACAAGAGGTGGGAGAGGTGTGGCCATCGGTGGGAGGGTGGAGAGAGAGAAGAGGAAGAAGAATAAGGTTTCTTAGTTTGAGAATTTTTTTTTCTCGTTTTCCTTTACTAAAACGACGTCGTTTTAATAAATAAAAATCTCAATCATTCACCTCTTAATTGGAACATGTGTCACCTTAATCATTTCACTTCACGGATATCACTCTAGAGGATCCGAACGTACATTAACGGGCGCAGGAGGTGGCTGGGGGGGGGCCTAGCCCCTGAATCCATTTAAAAAAGAGTTAATTACGTAAAAGTCCTATCTATATATTTGGTGGTAGCTTAGGTCCTATCAAAAAGTTTTTGAACCAATAAGTCCCATTTTGAGGTAAAAAGATGTTTTTTCCCTTTAACATAAACAACTGTATATAAAATTCCATTCACGTTATTTACTAGAAAGAAAAAAGGAATCTGTTAACAGATCAGTTATGGAAGTAGCTGAAGATTCGAATCGTGAACGATCTTGAAGGATTTATTGCTTTGGTTCGCTGTTATACGTAATTGATTTCTCAATTTTGATTCGAATAGGAAAGGATTTTGAAGGATTTCTTAGTTTGGTTCGCATTTTGAGTTGAAATCTGTGGGAGTTTGTTATGTGCGATTTCGATTTTTAAATCGACGAATTGATTTGCTGGATATTTGATCTTCGATCTGTTGATAGGTATGTATTGTTTCAATTTTGTATATTATGTTTTTGCTGGATACTTGATCTTCCATTCACGTTATGTTTTGTAAATTGAAGACATGTTTTGCTGGATGATTTCTCAGTTTGGTTATTTATTTTTATGAATTGGAAACGTGATTTGTGAAGTATTTGTATTGTTATGAAGTTTTTTGTTCTGGTGTTTATTGTTATGAAGTATTTGTGAAAACTGAGAAAGTTCTTAGTATTGTTCTGGTTTGATTGATGCGATCTTCTTTTCTTATTTAGATTGAAAGATGAGTGAAGGCTGTACAAGTGCCCCTATTTTTTTGTTGTGCAAGTATAATGGTTGCACATTTGCAATTAAGATTGATCAAAATGTTACATATGATCAGTTGGTTGAGAAGCTATGTTTGAAATGGGATAATTTGCAATCTGATAATATTTGTCTATGTTACTCATTGCCTGGACATCCTAATTGTACGTTGGACAACAATGAGGAGTTAGATTTGTTGTTAGCATTAGTTGTTCATTTTGATTCAAAGTGTATTGATGTTGTTGTGCGAGTAAAAGACTCAACCATTGACTGTGGTTATCTGAACAACAGATTGGATTATGGAGAAAGAGAGTCAATGTTGGATCTTGAAGTTTGTGATATTGCATTGTCTCATGACAGCAGTAAGTCTGTGAACTTGTCAAACAGAGCATCTACATTTTCCAAAAGGATTTCAAGGTTGAAGGTTGAAGAAGAGGTCGATATGTTATCATCATTTTGTCGACACAAGGGAAAAGTACTGTTGTCTGCTGGTTGGGCAGTTAGTATTACACATGTAGGACAGAAATTTGAAGGTGGAATTGTTGAATTTCGTAATGCATTGTCGAAGTTTTCTATTGAGTGTGGATTTGAGTTCATATTTGTTAAGAATGATAAAGTTCGTGTTATTGCACAATGTTTGTTTAGAGAGACAAAATGTTGTATGTGGAATGTTCATGGTAGAGTGGAGAATGCGAATGGGTTCTTTTATATAAGGAAGTTGAACAATGTCCACACATGTGGTGTTGAAGTACGCACGATGACTCATTCTCGTATGAGTTCTGATTTAGTTGCTGATTTGATTGTTAAAGGTGTTCGTGATAATCCATTGACACGTCCAGTTCATGTTGTTCGGGATTTTAAGTTGGGGTATGGGCTGAGAGTTAGTTATCGTTAAGCTTGGTTGGGGGTAGAAAAAGCAAAAGGTGAGATTTTTGGAGACTACATAATGTCATTTGACCAGTTAAGATGGTATGTGGATGTTGCAAAGAGTTGCAATCTAGGGAGTTACATTGAGTTTGAGTGTGATGATGATACTAAACGGTTTAAGAGATTATTTGTTTCTTTTCATGGTTCCATTAGTGGATTTGATTATTGTCGACCTCTCTTATTCCTTGATGGCACATTTTTGAAGGGAAGATTTAGAGGAAATTTACTTGCTGCTACAGGAAAAGATGGAAATCAAGGTACATAAGAAATTTGTTTTCTCTGTTCTGAAATTGAGAAAGTTCTCAGTTTAGAAATATGATTGAATGTTTTAAATTTTATATAATATTGTTGTTGTATATGCCTTTTTTATTTTTTCAGTTATTCATTTTAGTGTTTGATATTTTGAATGTTAGAGTGTTACCATTTTCTAAGAATAATATAATATTTTCATTTTTTTTGTTTTGTACATGCAGGGTTCTTTCGTGTTTGTTTTGCAGTTGTTGGCTCAGAGAATCAAGATAATTGGCGCTGGTTTTTGGAGCATTTGAGTAGAATTGTTTCACCAAAACGAAATGTTATATTTGTGTCAGATCGTAACCTTGGATTAGTTCAAGTGTTGCCAAAGGTTTTCCCAATGGCTTTCCATGCTTATTGTTTATATCATTTGAAGATGAACTTGAGGCATCATTTGTGTGGTATGTTTCATGGATTGAAAGAAAAGTTGATCACTTTGTTTGGGAAAAGTGCATATGCTCCAACTGAAGAAACATTTCATTAATGTTTGGTTAAGTTAAAGACTGAAGGTGGGTTAAGAGTTGAGAAGTTTTTAGATGACATACCATATGATCATTGGAGTAATGCATACTTTCGAGGGAAACGCTTTGGAGAGATGTGGTCAAATGTAGCTGAATCTTTCAATTTGTGGATATGAGAGGAATGCCACTTGCCTATCACAAAGTTGATTGATAGTGTAAGAATTAAGTTGATGGGGAAAATTGCTAAGAGGAGGGAACTTGTTAATAAATGGAATGGTTTGATTTGCCCTAAAATGGAGTCCAAGTTGCATGATGGTTTTAATACTTCGAGGCCATGGATTGTTAGTTCATCTAGAAATGATGTCTATGAGGTGCATTCGCATCCATCTGTTTCAGTTGACATTAGTAGACGAATATGTTCTTGTGGCGCGTGGCAGTTGAAAGGGTTTTCCTGTGCACATGCAGTTGGTGCTATACAAAAGAGTGGACATGATTTGAGTTTATTTGTTGATCAATACTTCTATGTTCAAAGTTATCGAGAGTTCTATTCTTTTCCCATATATCCTGTTCCTTCAATTTGGAAACCAGATTGGAATGTTGATGGTGATAGTGATGTTGTTCTTCCTCCTTTGTCTAAGAAGCAACCAGGAAGGCCAAATAAAAAGAGGATTCGTTCCAATGGTAAGAGAGTAAGGCAAATTATTTGTGGTAGATGTGGGATGGTTGGCAATCAAAATAAGAAATCGTGTAAAGAGGCTTTGTGATTTTTTGTAGTTGCTTTGTGATTGTAAAAATTTCGTATTCATAAATTTCTT